ATCTCAGGGAGGATCTTCCAGGACGCACCTACAGATGCCACGACAGAGAATGAGGAGGAGACCAAGAAACAAGATGGGCAGTGCAGCGGTGAAGAGCATCGAAAGGAAACCACAAGGCGGCACTTATAACGAGCCCCGCCTGAAGAAGAAAGAGGTCCGTGGACACAGGTCTCCCGAGAGAAGAAGGGACGAGTTAGATGTGGCTTGAACATTTAGAAGAAAACGCTGCTACGTACGGAACGTTTGCGAGGTAAATCACTGCAGATAATTAGAACTAAATGGCTGAAGAGAAATGGCCATGATTGACTCTAGGTAAAAACCAGCCCTAAGAAAAGAAAACGTAATAGTATTCTATTGCTTGACTGGAGAGTTTATTTACTTGGTCAATAATGTAAACACTATTGATTTCACCGTAAATTGTGGGAAATTATTGTGAAGGACAAGGAGGAGGAAAGGGAGGGTTAAAATGCTTCAAGAGAACTAATTCTTCAGCTGCCAGAATAATAAATAATAAATTTTGTCCAAATTGATAAATCAAGTAATAGTAGCATATCAGTTTGCTGAGGTTACCATGATAAAGAACCACAAACTAGGTGGCTTTTTTTTTTTTTTAAGATTTATTTTTATTTACATAATGCTCTGCCTGCATGTATAGCCTGCACACCAGAAGAGGGCACCAGATCTCACCCTAGATGGTTATGAGCCACCCTGTGGTTGCTGGGAATTGAACTCAGGACCTTTGGCAGAACAGCCAGTGTGGGTTTTTTTTGTTTTGGTTTGTTTCCTGAGACAAAGTTTCTCTATGTAGCCATGGCTGTCCTGGACTCTAGGAGACCAGGCAGGCCTTGAACTCACAGTGATCCACCTGCGTCTGCCTCCCTGAAGTGCTGGGTTTACAAGCTTGTGCCACCATGCCCGGCTCAGCCAGTGTTCTTAACCTCTGAGCCACCGCTCCAGCCCCAGACTGGGTGGCTTAAACCACAGGAATGGATCTGGAGCCGTGGCTCAGAGGTTAGAAGCACTGGCTGCTCTTGCAGAGGACCCAGGTTTCATTCCTGGCAGCCGCATCCGATCAACCCTCGGTGACTCCAGTTCCAGGGTGTCAAACGCTCTCTTCTGGCCTCAGTGGACACATGGCAGACACACATCTTTAAAAGAAAAAAAGCAGAAACCTCCCTGGTCTGCAGGTTGAAAGCTGATCTCAGAGTGCTGCTGGGCAGCTGGCTCCTGGGCCTCTCTGCTTCCATTATAGATGGCCATCTTGCCCTGTACCTTCATTTTGATTTTCTGTGTCCTAATTCCTTCTTTTTTAATTTTTAAAAATATATCATTACTATTGGAAAGTGGGTTGTGTATATGCCATGGTGTGTGTGTGTGGAAATCAGAAGACAACTTGCAAGAAGGCCTGGAGGCTCCTCTGCACTGGGCCCATACAGGGTTCACTCTAAGCGTCCCCAGATCATTACCAGCTGGTCAAATCACAACCCACATGGCTGTGGCTTCGGGGACCCGTTGCTAGGCTCTGGTGTCCCTCTTGCTGCCTCCAACCATTTCACCGGGCAGAAGCCAGGCTGGCTTGGACTCACAGACATCTGCCTGTCTCTCCCTCTCAAGTGTTGGAATCAAAGACCTGTGTGCACCACCACACCCACCCCTGATCTCTCGTAAAAATACCTTCATAATTAACAAAAGTTCACTTTAATGACCCCACTCTATCCTAGTTACTGTTTTAAAGACCATATCAGGGCCAAAGTAATAGCTCTGTTGGTAAAGGGTTTGCCTTGCAAGCATAAATTCATTCAATTCCTAGTGCCCACATCTGAAGAAGAGGAGGAGGAAGAGCAAGCCAGGCAATGTTGTCATTCTGGTAGTCCAGCAGAGACAAAAGGACCCCTGGTGCTAACCAACCAGCAAGCAGAGCCCATAGGGTTGGTGAAACCCAGAAGAGGGAGAGACCCTATCTCAAAGAACAAGGAGTGACATCCGAGGCTAACCTCACCTGCAGACATGCTGTGTACTGACATGCACATAAGTATACACACGGACCCTACCTCAAAGTGTAGTCAATTTCTAAGGTACTGAGGATTTCAACATACGAAACTGGAGGAAGCGCAGTTATGGAACAAGTTGGATGTGCATTTGTTATTTGGAAGTATGGAAGTAAACGCCAGAGGAGCAGAAAGTGACTGCCGGCCGAGGGAGGCGGAAAGCGGCTCAGGGCCCGCCAGGGGCTGATACTTTGATTTCATGGCTTTGCGCCAAGGTCATGCTCCTCCCCAGGAGTGACTCCAGGGCCCTGGCAAGGCCACATGCACTCTCGTCTCCCACAACCCCCGGTAGAGAACTACCCAGTGGGCATTCCCTGCACATCTAAGAGTTAAAGCTAGGTGTGGTGCCTGCAGACAGGCAGCCAGCAAACCAGTGCTCAGAGGCTGAAAGCAGATCACGCTGGAGGCCAGGCTACATAGCGAGACCCTGTCTCACGGGAAGAAAAGCAGAGAGAAGAACAGAACCTAAGGGAACAGTGAGCTCCAAAGACTCCGAGGGACCATCACACACAGCATCCTGCCCGGCGTTTCCTACCCCAGAGCTGCTGGGGGCTTCTCTGAGAGTTCTCCGGTAGTTCCAGCCCCAGGAAGAACGCATCCTGGGAAGGCTAATGCTGGTGTCTTATCCCTTTCTCCATGGTCTAAAACAGCCACTTGTCCTTTCTTGCTTGCTGTCTTTCTTTCTTCCTTTGGTTTTGTTTGTTCATTTGTTTGTTTTGAGACAGGGTTTCTCTGTGTAGCCCTGGCTGTCCTGAAACTCATTCTGTAGATCAAGACGGTCTCAAATCTACAGAGATCCGCCCGCCTCCCTAGTTCTGGGATCATAAGTGTGCGCCACCACTGCGCCTAGCTGGTCCCCCTTTTCTAAGTGCCAGTTTGGCTGTTGAAGGTGCCCATGATGGTTATTTTTATGTCTCTGACTGCCGTAATTGATGACATCCCGTGAGGGTTTGACCATTTTTTGCGTTTAGGTTGGTCCACACTAGTTTCCACTCTCCCCCCACCCCCCAGTTCTAGAGGCTGACTGGCCCTGGTGGTGTCTTCCTGAAAGCTGTGTGGGCACCCTTCCCGGGAGCACGGACCCCGAGTCCTCCGGGGAGCGGTGGAGGTTGCTGTATGTGCGTGCGTCTGCCTCAGCATGCCTCCGATTATCGCTTCCTAATAAAAGTCTGATAGCAGGGCCCCATCCATAGCTCACACACATGTGAGGAAACGTTAATTTAGAATCAATTTTAGGATGTTTCAGACTGTAAAGTCCTTTTAACTAGATCTCTGGCGAAGATGTAGGAGCACTTTATGGGACTGTAAATTTCATGTTGAACAGGCTTTGTGAAATACACATCTCCCTACACACAAGCTGTTCCCTCCATATCAATCATGGCCACTGCGAGTAATGTTTCACAAATATTCTGTAAATCACAGAAAACCCCATGCTAATGTGAAATATGACTTTCACTTGTCTGTTAGACAAAAGAACCGCACGTGCCCCTCTCCCATCAGCACTAACATTTGTTATGGATAATAACACTTTCAATCACAACTATTTTTGGGAAACGGGTTTATTTTAAGCCTCCCCTCCCCCCTACTGAAAACCCTCTCCCAAGGACACAGGCTCCTACAAACCACAGCCCATTAATCCAGCTATGGAAAAGGAAGTTGTTCCTCCCACTAACTTTACTTTGAGTTGTTTTAAAGAGTTAGAACAAACGCCCCAGGCACAAGGTTAAAACGAACTTTGCCAAAACTGATCAGCAGAAACAGGGAAGGGTCTCAAAAGACCCCAGTCTCCCATCCTGCTTGAAGTACGCTGAGAGCCACTGAGGCTTTTAGCAAGCACCTTCTCCCTTTCTACCCTGGCTCTTGTGTTTCCTCATTTCTGGCCTTCTCAGAGATGCCAGGCACAGTAGCGCTGGGTGGTTGCCAAAGCTAGAACTCCATGGCCAGCCAGTCTAGCCAAACTGGCTGTTCAATGAAAGACCTTATCTCAAAAAATAAGGTGGCCAGGTCAGGCGTGGTAGCACATACCTTTTATCGCAACACTCAGGATGCAGAGGCAGGAGGATCTCTATGAATTCAAGGCTAGCCTGGTCTACAAATGGAGTTCTAGGACAGCCAAGCCTACATAGTGAGATACTGTCTTAAAAAAAAATAATAATAATAATAATAATAAGGTAAAGAGCAGTTAAGATACCCAATATCAACCCCTGACCTCCACATGCATATGTACACACGTATACATACCAACATACACACGCATTTTACACACAGGGGAAAAAGTCATGTTTAACTGAACTCCTGTAGTTCAGCGTTCAAGGAGGTTTGTCATGAGTTCAAGGCCAGCCTGAGCTACATAGCAAGACTATGTCTCAAAAAAAGAAAAAAGAGAAAACAAAACCACTATGGTACAATCCTAATGCCTGGGACAGGCAGGCAAACCTCCCTGTTCAAGGCAAACCCGATGTCAATTGTCATTGAAGCAGCATCTTTCTCAGCCTCAGAAAGGTGCCTTTGAGCTCCTCCTCCTGCTGCTGCGGTGTCTGGAAGTACCAGGACCGTTGGTTTGTACCAGTGCCGGACCAGAATAATTTCACTTCATCACAGCCTGGCTGAAGCCTCCCTGCTCAAGCAGCAGGGGGCCATTCCTAGAGCGGATTTTCTCCCCAGTGTTGGGGATCGACCCCCAGACCTGCACACACTAGGCTGGTACTCTACCCGTGAGCTACGGCCCCAGCCATCATTCATCCACTCATTTTGTTTTGTGCAATGCTTGGGATGGAATTCAGAGGCTCTTGCAAGCGCTGCCAGTGAGCCACGCCCTCAGCCCCATAGCGTGGCTACCTCAGCACAAAGGCTCCCCTAGCCTGCAGGATATCAGTAGAAAAGCACAGCCCCCGAAGTTATGGGTTCACGTGGTTCTAAACATTCTGGTACCCCATTTTCTGTATCTTGTAGTCAACCCTGGACTAGCTGATCATGAGCACCATAAAAGAACAGGCAGCAATCAGCAGGCTCCTGAGCTTTTTGCAAGAGTGGGACAATGCCGGCAAAAGCCTTCGTGTTCATATCCTCACCAGGTTCATCGAAAGCAATGAAGGCAAGACTGGCCCCGAGCTGGAGCTGGAGTTCTCCCAGGGAGCTAGCTTGTTCCTCATACGGCTCACCACCTGGCTTCGAATCACGTATCCTTTGCTGGACTGGTGGGAAGTCATCAAAAGAGGGGGCAAAAGTATAGTTGAGGGAGGTTTTCTCTCCATTCCGGTGGTTTAGAACTGAAAGCATGGTGATAAAAATATCTCCAAAGTCAAGAACTCTATTGACTTCCTGTCTTCCTGACTCCAAGTGCGTCCTTACTCTTACCTCCGGCCCCTGACTCAGGAGGCTTGGGGAAGCTAGCTCTCCACCCAGGTCGGACCCATGGCTATTCTACCCTCGACTCTTCCTCAGGGACTTTGTTTTCAGTCTTACATCTTTTGCATTTTCCATACCACCAACTTATTTTTTTTATCATCTTTTATTATTTGTGTGTGTGTGTGTGTGTGTGTGTGTGTGTGTGTGTGTGTGTGTGT